GCCGAGAAGTTGCGCAGGGCGTCGAGGCGGTAGCGGCGGCAGCGGCTGGGCACCTGCCGCCCGTCGCGCACCTCCAGCGGGATGCTGGCGTTGAGCCACTCGGCGCTCAGGTTGGCGCTGGCCGGCACCCGGCACCGGTGCTCCGGGGTGCCGGCCAAGAAGACGGCCGACATGCCGTTGAAGCCGTTCGGGATGATGCTGGCGCTGAGCAGGAAGAAGACGAGGCGCTGGAAGGGGCCCCACTCGCCCAGAAAGGCCACCAGGTCGTCATAGTCCCGCATAGCGAGGGCAGCGGGCGCGAACAAACGATGACGGAGGCGCCGCAGACCGCACGCTGCAGCCGGCCGCGCGTATTAAAGAGCGGCCGCCGCTCGGCACGCTGTTGACGGGCTCTGTCATGCCTCCGGAGGTGGTGTCTCTCCCCGGTGGACTCCGCCCTTTCCGCGCACACCCCTTTCGCCTGGCAAAGCGCCACCCTCTCCGCCCGAGATAACCTTCGCGGGAGACGGCAGCCGCCTTATGCGCCTTGAGCGCCTCGCCGGTGGTGTTCCCGCCCACCCGCCTTACGTGATTAAGGCCAAGCCTTTAGGCGGGAAAAGAATCCACTCACGGGGTCCTACACGGAGAGACGCGATGGGAGGGAGATGAGCGCAGAGCGACGCAATAGGATGTGGTGGTCTTCTGGTGTTTCTGTTCGTTGACGTGGAGTACCCTCCTCTTTCCAAATCTAGAAGCGGCTTCTGTGAAATGTCTGAGAAATATACTAGCAAATAGGCATTTTTATTTTCAAAGGCTTGCAGCAGGCGGCTGAAGCTCAGGGCAGCTTGATTAAATCTAGTTGCTTACGTTCAGTTGTTGTTCGGTCGTTAAGTCATGTCCGACTCTTCGTGACCCCATGGACCAGAGCACGCCAGGCCCTCCTGTCTTCCACTGCCTCCCGGAGCAGGTGTCTTTTAATTTCGTGGCTGCTGTCACCATCTGCAGTGATCATGGAGCCCAAGAAAGTAAAATCTGTCACTGCCTATCTTCTCCTATTTGTCAGGAGGTGATGGGACCAGTGGCCATGATCTTAGGGTTTTTTTATGTTGAGCTTCAGACCATTTTTGCGCTGTCCTCTTTCACCCTCATTAAGAGGTTCTTTAATTCCTCCTCCCTTTCTGCCATCAGAATGGTATTATCTGCATATCTAAGGTTGTTGATATTTCTTCCAGCAATCTTAATTCCGTTTTGGGATTCGTCCAGTCCTGCCTTTCGCATGATGTATTCTGCATATAAATTAAATAAGCAGGGAGACAAATCCAGTTCTAGTGCTTCTTCAATTTTGAACCACTTCTTCAATTTTGAACCAATCAGTTGTTCCATATCCAGTTCTAACTTGCTTCCTGTCATACATACAGAGAATATAATCAATCTGATTTCGGTATTGGCCATCTGGTTATTTCCATGTATAGAGTCGCATCTTGTTTTGTTGGAAAAGACTGTAAAAGGCGAAATGAACATGATGGATAAAACTATGTCATCATTATGTTGGAGTTGTAAAAAAGAGAAGGGGACGTATTTACATATGTGGTGGCTATGTGAAAAAAGAAAGAAAGAATGGAAAGTAATATTTAAAGAAATATCTGAAATAATTGGATTGAATATTCCAATGTCCCCAACAACAGCTTTATTGAATATGAGTAAAGATCAATTGGCGAATGAAAATAAGGATTTAATAGTAATAATGATTACGGCAGCAAGGATAATTATGGCAAGGAATTGGAGAAATGAAAATCAATTTAACCTCGAGGAATGGTATAGAGAATTGTGGGACACAGAGAATATAATCAATCTGATTTTGGTATTGCCCATCTGGTGATTTCCATGTATAGAGTCACCTCTTGTGTTGTAGGAAAAGACTGTTTGTGATGAGCAGCTTGTTCTCTTGACAAAACTCTATTAGCCTTTGCCCTGCTTCATTCTGAACTCCAAGGCCAAACTTCCCTGTTGTTCCTTTTATCTCTTGACTCCCTACTTTAGCATTCCAGTCCCCTAGAATGAGAAGAACATCTTTCTTTGGTGTCAGTTCTAGAAGGTGTTGTAAGTCTTCAGGAAAAGACTGTTTGTGATGAGCAGCTTGTTCTCTTGACAAAACTCTATTAGCCTTTGCCCTGCTTCATTCTGAACTCCAAGGCCAAACTTCCCTGTTGTTCCTTTTATCTCTTGACTCCCTACTTTAGCATTCCAGTCCCCTAGAATGAGAAGAACATCTTTCTTTGGTGTCAGTTCTAGAAGGTGTTGTAAGTCTTCATAGAATTGGTCAATTTCAGCCTCTTCAGCATCGGTGGTTGGTGCATAAACCTGGATTACTGTGATGTTGAAAGGTCTGCCTTGGATTTGTTTTGAAATCATTTGATCATTTTTGAGATTGTATCCCAGTACAGCTCTTCCCCACTCTTTTCTTGCCCACAATAGTACATATGATAATCATCTGAATTGAATTCGCTCATTCCCGTCCATTTTAGTTCACTCATGCACAGGATGTCAATGTTTATTCTTGCCATCTCCTGTTTGATCACATCCAGCTTACCAAGGTTCATAGATCTTACATTCCAGGTTCCTATGCAATATTTTTCTTTGCAGTATCGGACTTTCCTTTCACTTCCAGGCACATCCACAGCTGAGCATCCTTTTGGCTTTGGCCCAACCACTTCATTAGCTCTAGAGCTACTTGTACTTGTCCTCCGCTCTTCCTCAGTAGCATGTTGGATGCCTTCCGACCTGAGGGGTTCATCTTCCAGCATCATATCTTTTAGCCTTTTGTTTCTGTCCATGGAGTTTTCTTGGCAAAGATACTGGAGTGGCGTTGCCAATTCCTGCTCCAGGTGGATCGCATTTAGTCAGAACTCTCCACTCTGACCTGTCCGTCTTGGGTGTCCCTGCACGGCATAGCCCATAGCTTCTCTGAATCACTCAAGCCACAACAAGGCAGTAATTCTTGAAGGGGTACTCAATTATTACCTGAGGACTTTTCTAAGACTTGCCTGATCAATAATGAATGAGACAAAGGAATACCTTTCAAGTAGGCTTGAGTTGGGGGGAAATTGTTAAATTGATTGCTTGGAGTATCAGCTTAAAAAATAGAACTCAAGAGGCGGGGCTTTGTTGCGGTGCAAAATTGTTAAATTGATTGCTTGGAATATCAGCTTAAAAATAGAACTCAAAATAGAATAAAAATTGTCTTGAATGGAGCAATAGGTGGAAAGGGGGAAAAACCTTGCACATTACTAAACGTTTGAACCTATACCAGTTTATACTGTATAACACTTCTTAGTGCATTCATCTTTGGCCTATCTTTTCCACAAACGTGCAATTTTTAACCCACTGATGCCTGCATGAATTTTTAATTTATATTTGCTTATTAGTAAGAACTTTTGTGACCTTGCTTGAATCTCTCAAGCTCTACTGCCCAAGGAGCCATGGTGGCAGCAAAAATGTTTTGCCTATTTTTGACATGTATGCAAGACGTTCATTTTAAGTAGTGCATGCATAGAAAATTGTAGGAAAATTCTTCTTTGCTAAGTTGTGAATTTTGCAGCCATTAAGTCGCAGTGGAAGAATTTATTGCTTTTTAACTTGTAAACAAGGTAAGTGTGGACATCATCCTTGTGATGAATGGCCAGAATCCTATTTGTTTTTCCCCTCCATGGAATGGCCCATCATGCACATTGTTGTCTTTGTACACCAGTAGAATCAGGGAGTCTTCACTACCACCTTCTGCACGTATAAACCAGGGCAACATCCAGCTTGGGTAAGAACAAGCAGAAGGTTTCTGGAGCAGTCCTGGAGTGCATCGTCCTGAAAGCAGTTATACTTTGCGATTGGCTCATAGGATTGTAGCATTCACCCTTATTATGTATTCGCGAAGGCTTTCATGGCCGGGATCTAATGGTTGTTGTGGGTTTTTCGGGCTTCTTGGCCATGTTCTGAAAGTGGTTCTTCCTAACGTTTCGCCAGTCTCTGTGGCTGGCATTTTCAGAGGAAAGTAGTTATGAATATTCATGTTTCAGCCTAATGTTGCTAGGAGGCAGAGTTAAGAGAAATGTAATAAAGAGTCAGAGTCAGAGAGAGTCAGTCAGTCAGAGTAAAGAGTCAGAGTCAGTTGGTCAGAGGAGAGTGAGAGAGTGGAGAAGGAGATAGAGTGTGGTATTTGGGAGATCTGAGGTGTGATTAGAGTGAAAAGTGAATAACTGTAATGACAAATAGAAGGTTGAGATTGATAATAGAAGTTACCTATGATTAATATTCAGATGTCTGTAATCAATAAAAATGTTTTATTTAAAAGACAGTGAAGTTTGGACCTGCATCTTCATCCATAATGTTGATATAGTGATCAACTGGTGACAGCGAGATGAAAAGGAGTAGTAGTTTGCCTTCGTGTGCTCTGTGTTTGGAAAGTCCGGCAAGGGGCACGAGGGTGAATGCCAGCATTGGTGTCCAGCGGTGAGATACGAAGAAATCCAGTCAAGCCTGAGTATTTAAAAGACAGTGAAGTTTGGACCTGCATCTTCATCCATAATGTTGATATAGTGATCAACTGGTGACAGCGAGATGAAAAGGAGTAGTAGTTTGCCTTCGTGTGCTCTGTGTTTGGAAAGTCCGGCAAGGGGCACGAGGGTGAATGCCAGCATTGGTGTCCAGCGGTGAGATACGAAGAAATCCAGTCAAGCCTGAGTTTGAAGAGAATTTTTCGTGAGTCAAGGGTACCTTTTAGACAGATGTCTGTGGCAAAGAAGTTTGGTTCCTCACTAGAGCTTTTGGGAAAAGCTTAGTGGCGGGGGTCTAAGATAGGTAACGACTCTGAGAGAAAAATCTTGTATTTTTACCTCAAGATTTGAAGACCCAGTGGGCTAGCTCAAGGCTCTAAGAGTTTAGAGAGCGCTTGTGGAAAAAGCAGAAGCCAGGGATCAGAGCAGATCTGAGGGAAGAGAAGAGAAAGCCAAGAAATAGAAATTATAGAAATAATTTCAGTGACTGGAAGTAAAGACAGGAAGACATGTCAATTTTAAAATCAGTAGAAAGACACTCTACAATAAGTAACTCAGATAATAAACCTCCCAAAGGAACTAAAAGACCAGTAATAGTGGAAACTGTGTCTCAAGAGGCACAGTTTGCTACCTCAGGAAATGGAGACCCTTTAAATCCAGGAGAACAGTTAGAGACTGAGGAAAATACCTCAGAAAGACCAGGTGTCCTAAGCTCCCTAGAATTTCAAAAATGGAAGTTACAACAGGAATTCAAGCTTAGAGGATTAGAGCAGGAAAAAAGACAAATGGCGTTGGAGGTAAAACAACTGGAATTTCAAATAGGAATGAAAAGATTAGCAGGGCTAGTTTTCAGACCCAAATGAAATCTGAGGTAAATTTTAACAAGCAGAATTGGGATGACAATAAGAAGCCCTTTAATAAAAATTACCTCAGCAAAACAACAGGAAATGAAGGCCGGGGTGGTGCCTCAGCTAAATTAGTATGGCCTAGTCCTCAGAACCAAATGAACTCTAAGGAAAAGTTTACCAAATCTCCTCAGGATGAGAGAAGGAATTACAGATGCTGCACATGCAGCAAGCCTGGTCATTTACAATTCAATTGTACAAAAAAAAACACCCTAAACATGTGGAGAATAATGGCCAGATCAAGAAAGTATACTGCTTGGGAACTGTGGAAGCCTCTGAGGGAAACCGTGGCCAAGGTTCTGTCTCCATGGCAACCACAGCAACTGAGCAAGAAGACATTCCTGTAGCCCCTATAGTCCAGTGTTTTTATATTAAAAAAATGACAATACTCTTCTCAAAAACGCTGGTGAAGCGATATTAGTGGGAAGAAAGAAATATATTGCCATAAGGGACACA